TCGGTTAAACCGTTTGCCATAAAAGGCCGGATCTTAGAAATATGTGGTGCATATTTTGATCGTTCTTTGGCAGTAAGCCATTGAGGCAATGGATGTTAATTGCTGAGCCGGTGAGCACGATAACCCGGCAGAGGATTTTCATCATCAGGAGCAGTATTCTGGCAGTAAGACCACGTCTGGTTCCAGTCCTTGGGGTGGCTGTGATGTTTGGCATGAGGAAAATTGACTTCTTTCCTTTTTTGAATCGACACCCCGCCGAGTTCAGTATTGGGGCCGTCGGTAAATTTAGTACGGCGGTTCAAGTGAAAGAAGTCTCTGAAAAATTCAACGGTCGGTTCTTCTTGCAGGTAAGCCTCACAAAACACTTGGAAATTGCAAATGTTGGAAGCTGGCAAGTACATCACCGAATTTTTTTGATCCAGAGGGCTAAACCCTCGGTCCAGATGATGTACAAACACAACTACTTCTCCATCTTGAGGCTTAGGAGGATTCTCAGTACCCGAGACTCTCCAATGGATGGTTTCTTCCCTTGCTAAAACGCCAGTCAAAACATACCCAGTAAGTTGCTCTTCCATAACCCGGGAGGGAACCCAATTGCAAGAGGAGAACTGTTTAGCCATTTTTGATGACAAGCTGTAAAAGAAGTTCAAACGCCGGATCACGGTTCAAGACTGATATGCATAAACCGGCGTCAGGACGGGGGAAGGAGTCCATCAGAGCATATGTGCACGTTAAACCGGATACTGATGTGCAGATAAAGTTGGTGGTTTAAGTGAGGGATAATGGTACCTGGCGGATTATCATTCTCTAAAAGTTAAAACCGCCTACAGTGGTATGGAAGAAGCAGAACTGAAAATTACTAAGTGTTGCAGAAACAGGTTTCACATGTTAAAATTATAATTATGGATCTAGCGCAGTAAAGAAAAAGGAAAAATCTCAAAGCCCTAAAGTGGCGACAGTAGAATAGCAAAGATCCAGATGGGATATGTTCATGGACGAAGGGATGCTAGGGTGAGGAAAAGTAAACTATAGCTTCAACCGCGAGGGGAAGATATCAAGTTCATCAAGATACGATGGACAAAAAGATAATGCAATGAACGCCGACGAACACTGATGAACACCGACAAATACATGAAACCCTAATGCAGATATAGGGTGGAAGAAAGAAGGCTTACCAGCTTCAGAGGAGCGGCAGAGAGGTGCCGCGATTCTCTGGTACGTTCAGGTCGATGCAGCGCCTAGGGGTGATGCAGTGCTTGAAGGTCAAAGGCGGCGGCGGAGCTTTAGGGCTCGGGCGTCGCAAGCATGAAGAAGAGGCGAAGAGGCACGGAAGGGGAAGGAAAAAGGGCCTCTGGTCCTATTTATAAGGCAAATGTATAAGTAGGCAGGCGTGGGAATCGTGGAGCCCAAAACAGAGAATGGGGCACAGCTGTCGCCTCGGTCTTCGGAGATCAATTAATAAAAGGAAGTATTTATGAGTTTTTTTACGCACATGACGTCATGACGGTTTACGGCGATTTCAGAAGATGACGTCACGGCGGTTTACAAGGTCAACACGAAGATGTTCATATCAGAATTTCTCTAAGTTGAAGATCGACATGAATAAGTTCAAATCAATCCGGGGCTCAATGTTGGGGATATGACTACTGAGTATAAACCGCCCAGGAGGGGCCGGATTATACTCACAAGGAGTCATCTATATAGAAGCCCATGAAGACAAGGAGTATGGCGCTTTACTATTGAAGCTTAGAGGCCCAGAGCCCAAGGGCGGTTTAGGGCCCATAGACGCAAACCGTCATGAGATATGTAACTTGTGTTGTAAGTTAAGGAAAGGTAGAAACCGAGCCGGACATGTGTATGAGCCAGCCTCGGTGTTCTGTAAACCGCCGGGCGTCAACCTGTGTATATAAAGGGATGACCTGGCGGCGGTTCAGGGACAAGAAACAACAACTCGAGAGATAGGTAAAGCGGATTCGCTCCCTGCTCATCGAGACCGATCAATACCACCACAACTGGATCGTAGGCTTTTACCTTCACCGCAAGGGGCCGAACCAGTATAAACTCCCCGTGTCCTTTGTCCGGTTTAACCACTTTTTGGTAATCTCGTTGCGATGGCTCCACCACTAAGTCCTCTCACTAGGACATCTGACGTGTTAATTCCACGACATCTATTAAGAGTGAAATCTGCTAAGTGTTGAAAAAATAGGTTTTTACAGATTGGAGCAGGTGATTTGGATCAAGCGTTGTGTGAAAAAAGAAACTAAATTTGAAACCCAAAGTGGCAGCAGAGGAGTTCGTGTGCTCTGATGAGATCTTCTATGAAGGAAAAAGTGTGCTGATATTAAAAGCAAAGGCTAAACTGCTACCGCGCGAGTTTTATATTATATTCAGATCAGAAACTACTGGGGTTGAAGAAGAAAACGAAGTACAATGAAGAACGACGAAGCACTCGAAGAACTACAGAAACCCTAATGGAGATCTACGATGGAGAGGATAAGGTGCTTACTGGATCCGAGGACCAGTAAAGAGGCGTTGCGGTTTCTCTGGTCCCGTTCAGGTCGATGCAATGGCCAAGGACGAGGAAGACGGTGAGCTTCGTCGCGGCGGCGCTCAGGCGTACAGATGCTTCGTGGAGAGAGGTAGAAGACGAGAAGGAGAAAGGGGGAGAATGAAAGAAGGGCTGTTTGACCCTATTTATAAGAAGGGTGAACAGGTAGGCGCGAAAAACGAGGAGGCCAAAGAATGATTATCCAGCGGTTCGGACGCCTCAAATTTTTGGATGGTCATTAAAGATAAGGATCTGTTAAGATATGTTGGATATTATGTAAAATTAAATGACAAATGACCTCATGGAGGGTTACCACAATCGCAGGAGATGATGTCATGGCGGTTTATGAGATCTCGCACAAATGAAGGAGGAAGGATTTTTTCCAAGTGTTGAAGATTGACATAAACAAGTTCAAAATCAATCTGGGGCCTAATATTGGGGATATGACTGTTAGGTATGACCCGCCCAGGAGGGGCCGGGTTATACCTATGGCGGTTCATCAATATGAAGGCCATGAGGATATTGAAGATGGCGGTTCATGAAGCAAGGGCCCGAGGCCCAAGGGTGACTTAAGGCCCATAGGGGTAAACCGCCATATGTGTATGATGTATATTGTAATGCAAGTATAGTTAGTCACCAAGCCGGACACGTTGTCTATCAGCCGGCCGGGATTCCGTGAGCCGCTGGGCGTCAACCTGTATATATAAAGGGACGACTCGGCGGCGGTTCAGGGCAGGAAACGAGAGATCAAAAATTTGGTCAAGCGTATTCGCTCCCTGTTAAGCGAGACATAAGCAATACCACTTCAAACTGGATTAGGTGTTTACCTTCACCGCAAGGGGCCGAACCAGTACAAATTCCTGTGTCCTTTGTCCCGTTTAACCCCTTTAAGCTAACCTAGTTACGATGGCTCCACGACTAAGTCCTCACACTAGGACATCTGCCGTGACTATTTCACGACAGCATCGCTACGTGATGATCAACCCCCATCTAGCATGATGGCAATAACTAAGTGAAAAAAAATCCAAGTTCACAATATCCGACTGCACCAAAGTTGAGCCGCAAGTATTAAGGCCCGAGCGAAGGGTGCCTCAGCCATGTCTGCATCCCAACCGATACTGAATAAATTATCGGGTCGGCAGAGAGGTAAGGTGATTGGGACCCGAATGCTAGAGATATATAATCACTGAACTCTTTATTTGGAAACTGATATACATATTTAAACTAAACTTACTCATTTTTTGAGCCAATATACAGTTACTCATTTGGTTATATGAGAGTACACCATGGATGTCATAATTTCGTGGAAATACGAACGAGTGGCGCAGGAAAGAGAAAACATAGCGACAACTGTAAACACAGCTACCGCTGAGGTTTTTCGTCGTATTTACCTTTCTTTTTGTAGGCCACACTTGAAAAGTATGATTCTACAGAACTAGAAGGTTCCTCATTCGTAGTTCAGGTTACAGAAACGTGACACAGTGAGAGGAATTTGAACCAAATGCGTATGTCGCTCTACAACCTGACCATGAGGCTCTGAAGTGGGGTGATATATAAGTGTTACAAATTCATACATAATTTAGGTAAGGTGACCCATGTTTAACATAGCTTGCTGAGCCATTTTTTAGAAAACGGAATACAAAAAGTGCAACCATAAACCGAAGGACTAGCACGACATTGCTGTGCCAAGTAAATCTCCCTCTGAGACAACTAAGCATCTTGTTAGCTTGCAGACTCAATGCCAATATATTCACAGTAAATTCCTGCACTAACTAGCTATCGAACAACTTAGCAAGTGAAATAGTGTCTCTGTACGTTGTTTGGTTTAACAATATAGAATTGTCCTACTTGATAATTAAAAGCAACGAACAGTGAGGCTGACTAAACAAAACTGGTTTTGGAATCTGCACAGGTTTTGTATAATTACCTAGCATCTTCATAGCATAAATTGTTGGCACCAATCAATCATTTTTCAGAATAACTTGACATATACTGCAATTTGCTAAAGTTTCACCACAATTCACAATAGGATCTCGGAGAACTTACAAATTATCAACAGTAGATAAAGATAAACTTATCTCAGCTGGTTGCTGCGGTCTCAGGTGAAGTGACTATATCTGCTCAAATTAATCCACGGTCCGACTACTAAATTTTGCGAGTCTTAGCTGCTTTCTCCCATATATCAACAACAATAGTAGGGCATGTCCTTTTGAGGTGCTCATACCCTTTGCTTGCCACCAGATCACTCATTCTATTAGAAGAGTTGATAAATTCGATGCAGCCATCTTTGAGCTGGCTACAATGATACTGGTCGGCTAGAGCCAACGTGGTCGCCACGTTCTTGGCGCAAAGTCTATCACAAAGCTTGCTTTCGCACATGAGCTTCATCCTGTCAATGGCGTACCTATCTGCAGCAACAAGTAGATGTTTGAGCATCTCTTCATACTCGTCATCACTGAGGACTGAGGTCATCCATTGGGGCCAATGAATCCGTGTAGATGAAGTGGAGCAATGCCTTGAAAACAGCAGGCTGCATATCTTCAATAATGTTTACATTATGCTTAGACTTGTTCTTCATCGGCCCGTAGAACTCTGCCTTGAAGACTGGGCACTGCATAGCAAGGATGATCTTATGAGCTGCTAAAACCTCCCCGTCGACCTTGAAAGACACATCGGCCCCCTCTTGTGTTTCAAGCAATTTACCAAGATTGTCCAGCAAGTTGGACCGTGGAACTTGGACCTCGAATTTCGTCTTGGTGGTCTGCACATCTGCCTTCTTAAATTTGATAACAGCAATATTGCACTCAATGACAAGCACGTCATCCAGGATGTAATCTTTGAGCTCTCTTTTCTCAACAAAATCGAGGAAACCACAGCAGGCCGAGTTATCATCACATGAGTCAAACTCCGAGGGGTCTATCTCGCTAGGGTTTGGCCATGCATAAGGCTGTGTGCGACGGTCGACTAGCCTCAGATCGAAGACCGCCCTGGCCTTGGCGTTCTTGGTTTTGAGCTCCACGAAAACTGAAACATGGTCTTTGGTTACCCCCGAGTGACCGTCGGGGTAGAAGTGGACGCACCAGTGGTAGCCGCCGACGGCGAAGGTCGAGGACTCGATCAACCTGCCGACGCCCAAGTCCCTGTACAGGCTGTACCGGTTGATCTTGAACAAGTGCGCCCCGTGGGCAGTTTCCGGGGTGCAGGCCGACGCCGTCATCGTCCGTGGGCTTGGGGATGCGAGCATTGCCCCACTGGAGCAGCGCAGCGGCGAAGGAGAACGATGAGGCGATTCTGGTATGGGGATGCGGTCGGGACGAAGGCAACACGACGGCGGGTGGGGAATCGGAGGCGGCGCGGCGCGTCACGCAACTATTGGCAGGGTTTCTTTTCTCTGTGTTTTCTCCACGCAACGGCCCGACTCAGACACGAGGCCAGTGGGGTCCATTCTCTGCGGGATTCTTTTCTCTGTGTTTTTCCTTTTTTGATTTGACTGTTTGGATAAGTTTTCCTTTCTTTTAAAAAAGGACAAGTTTTCCTTCGTTTTCTCTAGTTTCTATTTTTTTCCTTTTCTCTTCCTTTATTGTTTTTCTGTTTATTTTTTCTTTGGATTTTTTTATTTCTTTCTTCGGTTTTCTTCTTGGTTTTCTATTTTTTCGCGGTTGGGGTTTTTCTATTTTTCAACACATGTCAACTTTGTGCCTGACGCTGAAGCGGCTGATGCCCTCACCTTCGCAATGGATTAATCTTGGCTGACCATATGGGCTGCAAGAGAGTAATGGCGGAATCAGACAGCTCGCTTATTATTGAGGCAGTTAACAATGCTGAGAATTATTATGGGTCTAATGTTGCCACCATTATGGAATGCTACCAGCTACCAAAGGAGTTTGGGATGATCAACATCGGTTTGTGCAAGAGGGAGGCAAATGAAGTTGTTGATTGTCTCGCTAAATCTAGTTACAGTCCTAGAACTCCCTATCTTTGGGACAATACAGCCCCTGGTTTTATTTCATCACTGGTTGTAAGATTTTGGCTGTCTTTTGATGAATAAAATCATATTCTTGTGAAAAACACTTTGACGATAAACTATCTCGGCTAAAGTGATGCTATATTTGAAGGAAATATGCCCTAGAGGCAATAATAAAGTTATTATTTATTTCCTTATATCATGATAAATGTTTATTATTCATGCTAGAATTGTATTAACCGGAAACATAATACATGTGTGAATACATAGACAAACATAGTGTCACTAGTATGCCTCTACTTGACTAGCTCGTTTATCAAAGATGGTTATGTTTCCTAACCATAGACAAAAGAGTTGTCATTTGATTAACGGGATCACATCATTAGGAGAATGATGTGATTGACTTGACCCATTCCGTTACCTTAGCACTTGATCGTTTAGTATGTTGCTATTGCTTTCTTCATGACTTATACATGTTCCTGTAACTATGAGATTATGCAACTCCCGTTTACCGGAGGAACACTTTGGGTGCTACCAAACGTCACGACGTAACTGGGTGATTATAAAGGAGTACTACTGGTATCTCCAAAGGTACATGTTGGGTTGGCGTATTTCGAAATTAGGTTTTGTCAGTCCGATTGTCGGAGAGGTATCTCTAGGCCCTCTCGGTAATGCACATCACTATAAGCCTTGCAAGCAATGTAGCTAATGAGTTAGTTACGGAATGATGCATTACGTAACGAGTAAAGAGACTTGCCGGTAACGATATTGAACTAGGTATTGGATACCGACGATCGAATCTCGGGCAAGTAACATGCTGATGACAAAGGGAACAACGTATGTTGTTATGCGGTTTGACCGATAAAGATCTTCGTAGAATATGTGGGAGCCAATATGAGCATCCAGGTTCCGCTATTGGTTATTGACCGAGAATAGTTCTAGGTCATGTCTACATAGTTCTCGAACCCGTAGGGTCCGCACGCTTAACGTTACGATGACAGTTTTATTATGAGTTTATATGTTTGATGTACCGAAGGAGTTCGGAGTCCCAGATGAGATCGGGGACATGACGAGGAGTCTCGAAATGCTCGAGACGTAAAGATCGATATATTGGACGACTATATTTAGACTTCAGAAAGGTTCCGACTGATTCGGGTATTTATCGGAGTACCGGAGAGTTACGGGAATTCGCCGGGGAGAAGTATTGGGCCTTATTGGGCCATACGGGAAAGAGAGAGGGGCTGCCTAGGGCAGGCCCCCCCCCCAAGGCCTAGTCCGAATTGGACTAGGGGGAGTGGCCGCACCCCCTCCTTCCTTCCCTTCTCTCTTCCCCTTCCTTCTCTCCTACTCCTACTAGGAAAGGTGGAGTCCTACTCCCGGTGGGAGTAGGACTCCCCCCTTGGGCGCGCCTCCTCCTCCTTGGCCGGCCCTCCTCCCCTTGCTCCTTTATATACGGGGGCAGGGGGCACCCCATGACACACAAGTTG